CCCGGGCCAGTGAAATCTCCAGCCACGAAACAGGAAATCTGGTAGAGTGCTGAGCAGCTAGCCCTTGCAAAGCTGCAGTCAAATCGGCAACAACGGATTCGACCCAACATGGCTCATCCGCCAGCTTGCAACGGTCCCGCAGTCGACGAAGCATTTGCTTCACAGCAACTGCGATCTGCTGCCGCCTCGGTGGCAAACGCAAGTTGGCTGGTAATTCTCTGAACTTCCGCAAGTGCCGTGGCCATGGAATCCGAGCCTGGGATGCAGCAATGTGCACTTGACCATCCACGGTCACCGTGGGCCAGGTGGGGTCTGCCAGCAGGAACTCCCGACAAACACAAGGCGGCCTCACCATTGCAAAGTCTGCAAAGAAGTCACGGCTGCAAAGAACGCTACCAAGAGAGGGCGTAGTTGCCCACCGGAAACGAATCCGCGCATGCCTCAAAATAGGTAACCAATGACCCGCCCTGCGCCATGAGGCCACCAAAGAACGCACCGCGTGCACGGCCAAATTGCGAGCTTGCTGCGACCCAACCCAGGGAATGTCACAAGAAATGACAGCGACGGGGGATGGCAAGTCTCTTCGAATGCCAGCAATCCGACGCAACACGCGCAAGGCCCGTGCTCGGCGCCACCCTGACTCGTTGTTGGTGACACGCTGCACTACATACACCCAAGCTGACCTCGACAACCTCCAAGCAGCCAAAGCACACAGTCCACAGCCAGGAAAACGATGTCCTGCAAGCGCAGCAGCGGTTCGCTGCAACCCTTGTTTCCAAGCATCATGAGCAAGCTTCTGCCCGCACACAATTTGCGGAGAAGGAAACGTCTTGGCCCTCAGTCTGCAAACCAGGCGGTTTCTCCCAAAGACCAGTGAACTCCTGCTAGTCACACCATTGCTCCGAAGCAAGCGGTGCACCCGAGGTGGGTTCAATACACCGATCTTCCGAATCCAGTCTGCCTCTAATGCTCTCCGCGCACAACCATCACCAGGTGCGGGGACAACCGGAAAAAAGATCCACTCACAAATTGCCAGCCGCATGAGGTGGGGAGCACACTCTCCCGCTCTCACAAAATGGAAAAAGGGTTGCTGTACAGCGCCATTGGGAGCAAGCAATCGACAAGAATGCTCATTCACACGTCTGGCAAAATTGTCTGTCTCACCGACGTAGGCGAGGGGACCAAAAGAAGAGTATTGTGGGAACATCGGGACACACATATAGATGACAGAGCCATGCCACAAAGTTTCCCATGAAAAGTTCCAAGGCAAGCCACCCAAAGATTTAAGCAGGTGTAAAGACCTGCGGGATGACTGCGCTTGAAGCATGCAGAGCCATACACTGGCACAGATGCGAAGTATAATCTCCTCAGCTTCCATCTTTCCCTTAGTGAGTCCCAGGAACCAAAATCGCAACAGTGCAAGCAAGCACAGGGCAGCGCCACAAGCCGAAGCTATGTGCTCCTGGTCCTCACATTCACCCCATCACGGGGGACATTGTACCATGTCTGTGGCCCGCAATCGGGCGAGCACTTCTGGAACTTGACTGTCTTTGCCCCGCACCTCCAAGTTCAATGCATCGCATAAGCGCTTCAAGGACTTAGCTGGGGCCGATCCGAGGCTCACATCCGTCAGCAAAGCCTTGAACTTGCGCAAGTAGAACTGAAATGTGTGCTGGTAAATGGGGCTCATGACATCCAAAGGAGGAAGGGTCTTCAAAGCAGCACTGGGCTTCAACTTGCAAGGAAAGCGGTTTGCATGCTTCACCTCTAATGAATCCAAAGATAAACCATCCACATCAGCCTGAATCCTAGCAGAAACCCAAGTTGCGAACTCCTCACTGTTACGGTCGGCCGGAGGGGCGTCCAATCCAGCTTTCAGTGGAGTAGCATCAGCCAAAGCAGATAATCCTGCCAGGCCTTTCTTTGGAGTTGCCAACTTGGGCCCCGGCACACGGTCAGGAGCAACAGCTTCACCAAGTGAATCCGAGGCACGAGTGCTGGCATCAATGTGCCGTGAGGTATCTGAGGAATCGGCTTTCTCTGGGCATTTGGAAAGGTACTTCACAGTTGCCTTCCACTTGGATTCATTCGTGGTAGTCAGCGGCAGCAAACGAAAACACTCCCAAAAACGTGAACAACAAAGCCTCGACATGGGAGTGATGGTCCAATTCTCGTCCTCAAAGTGTGACTGCTGCCTTGGAGAAGCCAGCTGGATGCATCTCTCCCGTCTCAAGGCATTCAATTTGGAACACATCTGGATGCGGTCAACGCCCTTCAAAGAATCAATATCCACAATGATGCCCGGTGGGGGGCGCCATGCTACTGCCCGAAGCTCACGGGGAATGCCAACCCAAATGTCGGCAAAGTCTTCGGGAGAAAGCAAGAGCAAACATTCCAAGACCAACTTGTTGAACTCGTCTTTTCCCATGTCACCTTTCAAGTCCTTGGCCTGCGGAAGCCTGTGAGATGCACGCCTCCCGCGGGGTGATCGCGATCTAGACCGCCCCCGCCTTATAGAAGGTTGACAAAACCCCGGCGGGGCCCCTGGAGGAGGTGGTCCAGGCACAGGAGCTTGGAAAGGAGCAGTGTGCATGCCAAGGTGTTGGTGTGCAGCAGCGCCAGCCCAACCAGGATTCAAAGATCCAGTCCCAAAGTGGCCATAATGCGAATGTGGCCACGACATGGCTGCACGGGTCTGTGCACAGATGTCTGCAAAAGCCAGTAGCTGGCAAACATACAAGCACAGCAATCAAAGTCAAGTGTAAGTGTGCAAATGTCCAACAAGCAAATTCCAAGAAAACATGCCACAAATTCATGGAGGCAAATCGTGGGACAAAAAAGTAGGCGCCGATATATCTCCAAGAACACCACAGGAAGGAGAAACACCGTAAGATCAAACAGCAAGCACTCAACATCATAACCCGCGTATACTCACACACGGCACTAAGCAGGATAACAATTTTGCATAGCACGCATCTGTGTATCACCGCAAGTTACACAAGCAACTAGTAAAAGTGAAAGTGAAAGGCCATCAGGCCAAGTTCAGTTGCAAAAAAGCAACAAAAAGCCTACCCCAGGGATTCCACCTGGTGTCCGTAAACGGCACAGGCCTGGCATAATGAATGAAATGTAGCAAGCTGAAGAAGGTTGAAGGAAGGTTTGAATTAGTATATACGCGTCGCAAGCCGAAACATCATGTGAACCGCAAGCTCCATCACCTCACCGAGATCACAACACACCGCGAACAGACGCCATCACTCCATACGCACGCCAGAAGAGCAAATACCAAGTACCAAAACAGGTACAAAACAGGCAGATTCCTACCAGGAACCAAAGGCACTGCATGCACAGCCCCCTCGACCTGTACTGTGCATGTCAACCTGGACGCAGGTGTCATAGGGGAGTTCAGCACCTTACAGTGACCAAGCCAGCAATCTCATTGTGTTTTCTTCTTCCTGCTTGAAGGTACAGTATCCGAATGGTGATTCACACCCATATGAGGATCACTTGATAGACAGCGGGGGCTGGACCTTGATAGACAGGGATGCCAAGCGAAGGTGAGCCAAGCGAAGAAGCCAAGTGAGTAGCATCGAACTTAAGAGGTGAAACGGTCTCGCTGTGCGTGCTGCGTAAGTCAAGGCGGAAATGACACATCTGAGAGACCAGCAGCTAACCAAGCACATGGCATTCTGGTAAAATGCTGCTAGGATCTGCTATAGGCTAGGGAGTGAGAATTAGCAAAGAGATTGGATATAATGATATAACGAACCTCCTGCTGCTTTTCCCTTTTTTGTTCGATTGTCTGACATGAATCCCAACGTCCAGGTTTTCCCATGTTTTTCCCAAGTCTTCTGGGTAGTGCTTTGGTTTTGGCATGTGTATGCATCTGATTGCATGTGCTTTCTTTCTCATCCTGATTCATTATCCCAATTGGGCCATGTTCTTCAGGGATGACGATTCAACAGTCTTTGACCCAAGGGAACCTCTATTGACCAATCAGATCAACGTGTTCAGGGCTCCAGTCCTTTCCCTCCCAGGCCTCCGCGGCCGCGCACCCCGCGCCCGGCAGAAGCCCCTGATCCGTCCCGGTCGACGCACCCGGCCGCGTCCAAAGTGACCGGATTCCGGGGGCCCAGCGCATGTGCAAACCATCAGCCTGAAATGGGCGGAACAATACACTCCCTGGAACTAACATGGAAACGGAGAAAGGTCCCGAAAGGAAGACCATGAAATCCACTACAAACAGGTGGTGAACTCCACTTCCATGTTCATGCCAGGGAGAGTAGGTTGAAATATGTCTATTTGATCGGTCGGGCCGCCCGGGCCCTTCGGGTAACCGAGCCAGGAATTGTTGCGCTACAGTTGTACAAACATTCTGTAGCTTATTGTTGAAGTGTCAAGTGCACCAGTCATCCAACTGGAACGAACCGACCAGTTCTCACTTGGTGCTTGCCTTGCAGACAAAAGCTGCATTGCGAAGGGTTCGGTGTGTTTCGGCATGATCAAACGCGAAATTGGTCGTCCTTTAAGGTCATGGTTGATGATCTGATCACACAGCCCCTGTTTTGCAGCTACAGAAGTATGACAGATCTTGGAAGTGGTACAGTGGGACGCGGCCACTATCACGCTCATGCCCATGGCATAACTCCGGTTGACACTTCGTGGAAAATGGTATCCACAGGGTAGGATTTGTCTTCCATGAGCCCGTGAAAGATTGTTTCCGAGCAATATGCGGAAACTGGTTCCATCTGTCCAGGTGTATTAGGCTTAGTTGGCTGCTTAGTTGGCTAATTACTTAGCAACTAGGATTTTGAAGGGGGATTAAGCTTTAGCCAACTGAGTTCTCTTTAAGCCAACATCATGGGCTTTCTTCCTGTTCACCAAATCGCCGCATTCTCCAAAGCAGGTGCCCCGCCGCATTCGAAAGACCGATGGGTCCCGGCGCCTCGCGCCTCGCGGCGCGGGCTCCGCAGGGCTCGGCTCGGCTCCGCTCCGCTGAGGTACGGCACTCGTTTGGGCTCAATCCTGGAGATGTTGGGGCGACCCAGGACGCACCAGAGGTAGGACGGACGGAAGAATGCGGACCTGTGGAGAAAAGAATGGCAGTTTGGTGCCCTTGATGTGGAAGTCTCCTTGATTTCAAAGCTGTTCAAGGTCTTTGGTCCCTGTAAGTGGCTTGCAACATATTGCAAGCTAAAAGACCCAGTCATGGAATCTCTCTTTCAGTGGTGATTCCGGTGGATCGCCTCAGCTTTCACCCGAAACATCGTTTGGTCCAGCACAATGGTTGTTTGGGCTGGGTAGGCTTTCCAGCAGCTTCGAGTACAATCATTGGTGGTGAGGTGGAGTGAATTTATATAAGTCTATCAGTGAGATGAATCTGCTGAAATCTATAGACCGCCTCAAATGGATCCTTTCGTATCCTTGAAGGGATCTCAGAGGAGGGAGATGTCCACCAGGTGTTGCGTGTGCGCAGATGAGGCGCCCCCCCTCATATCCTCCAGGATGGACACGGTACGGTACGAGGCCCTCAGGGCTGTCCCAGAAGGTTCTGAGAATTATACATGATTGTTCTCAGATGCTTTCGGATTTCGAGGTGTTTTAACGTGGCGAGTTCAGGATTTGCCCCACCGTTTCCTCTTTTGTGCTGAGTGAGCCGCGCACCAAGGGGGGCAGGACCAGGTTGGATGGTTCGTTGATCACCTGCACCTTTAGGGCCAGCTGACGTGTTGGATCAGCAGCTGCTGTAGTCCTGAAGAGCACGTGACATAGACCAATCTGGACCAGGACTTCTGATAATTGAAAACTCTGAAAAAGGTAGGAACAAGATGGAACAAGTGAGTTCACTCCTTCGGTTACTTGACGCACTCCTTTGCGAGCGGCGAGCGGCTCGGTGGACTGCTCAAAATGTGGCCCTTCTTGTTGGTGAGTCTTCTCAGATCAAGATGTTTGCGAAGCAAAGCTTTAGCTTGGGCATCGATGGCATGTGATGGAATATCAATCGGATGAATTCCATGTACTACCAGAAGCGAGCCGCCACCGTTGGGCTGGCCCCCCTTTACACATACATTTAATTGTTCGCATTTCTTTCGGGGGATGTGTGTCTTCATGTGTTAGTTTACACTTCTTTTCCCCTTTGGGGGGGTCTTTACAACCTGACAAGACATCCTGTCAAGATGAGGGGATGTGAGCGAAAGAAACCTCTGTCCTAACCTAGTGAGCTCGAGGAAGCCACACACACACTTGCAAATAAAGAACAGGATCGTAGCAATTTTGTTGCTCAATGTCTTTGCTCTTTGAACATCGTGTTGGATTTTGGGGGGTCCGTTCGATCGCACGTCCTGGGTACATGGGGTCTCATCATCCCTCCTTCTTGTTTAACCCAATGTCTTTGCATCATCCCTCCCATCATCTCATCACTTCCTGGGTTTCCGTCCGCCATGCTCCACCTGCGGCACGCACTCCGTCGAGTGCCGCCCGCGGGACGCACCGCGGGACACCGTGCAGCCAGCACCGCTCTTTGGCGCTGGGGCCTGGGCGAAGGGTTGGAGAGAACGCCGCAGCGAGTGGCCGAGGGTGAGGGCGTCAGCGCGGTCGCCTGCGGCTTGGAACACTCGGCCTTTGTCGTGGATGGCCAGTTGTAACTTGGCCAGGGCCTGGTGTACTTCCACCAACCAAGTCGAGCAACGAGGCAAACACACGGTCAATGGTGTCATTGGCCTTTTTGAGGGTCTGTCCCATCATAACGTTTGGAAGGGTTCAGTGGAGGAACTATGATGAAGCAACTGAAATCCTTAGTCTGACCACTTCTCCTTGGAGTTAAAGATATTCTGGTATACTGGTCATTGTCGATGGATTTGGAGTCGAACATTGGTGATTTCTGGTCGCGGATGATATGTCTCAAGCTCAAACACAAACACACTAAATCCCACCTGAAATCACTCCACCAGGTACACCTTTGGCGCCAACGCTGATCACCAGCTGGGCCGCGCCTCCGAAAACGACGCCCATTGCGCCGTGGCCAAACTGGTGGCGCCTGATGGCCACCAGCCGCAGGCGCAGCAGGTGGCGCTTGGTGCGCGGCATACAGCGGTCATCAGCGAAGGTGCCCAAGCGGGGGTTGCATGGAATGAGGGTGCCTTGGCCTTGGTATGCCTTGGCGACCCTCTAGCAAAGAGAGACTTCTGAATAACGTTCATGATATCCATGGTATTTAAATCGAATTAATTGTATTGTTTCATGACCCCGTGGGCGGAAGATCGCCTTCTGTTCGAAATACCGGTTGGTGTTTCGAGTGGGACTTCAGGAGGGGATAGAGACGGGGGAATTGGACATGGAGTTGAGGATTGGGGCCAATGGGGGCATGGCAAGTTCCTCAAAACCTCCAAATTGCCAGGAAGTACGGACGGTGGCAGGGACAGACGGACTGTTGACCAGACCGGTTCGCACCCCTGGACCTGACCATGTGGATGTGACCTCGCTGGGAGATCATCCAGCAATTCACCAAACAGGCGAACGACACAGGTGGTTTGGGGAGTGCTTGGAGATTCCATGTCGATCGAGTTCTTGAATTGTATCCCCCAATTCCAGCACAATCACCGTCAGTCCCAAGCAGTTTGCCTCGGTGGCTTCCTGTGCTTTGATGGAAGATGAGAATCTCCACATTTCAATTCTCAGATGCTCAGCTCAGTCCTGTGTAATAGAGCACATGAACAGTCGGTGAAATAAATATCACTAATTATAGAGATGAATTGGGATGGAAGAAGAATGTTGGGTGTTTTAGCTTTGTTCATCGAGGAATCTGTACGTATGTTGTCTCAGTTTGCAAGGCAAACTTTTTTTGTAGGGCAATATGTTTCCAAAGTCTGGCCGATTGGAATCGCCTTGCTTGGGTTAGGTGCTTTGCCGTGGGGCAGGGGCTGCGTTGACAACAACCACGATAAAGACCGACGACTGAAACTGTCCTCGACTGGCTGCTAAACATGACCTCCACCTCCACATTCACGGCTGGATGGAGCATCGCAGCCAACCGGTATCATGTGTAGGCGGAGTGCTTTGGACCTGCGGCTATGGCGGCAGCTTCTGGTTTGGTGCTGGGGCTTTGGGTTTGAACCTACGGGGCACCGTGCCGGAACTACGGATGGTGATGCCCTTCGTGCAAGAGGGCACCGAAATTCTGCAGGCTTGGAGTCCAGCAGATCGTACAAATGGTGGCTGGTTTGGGTTCTGAGCCGAAGGGTTGTTGAGTTCGAACTGTCCATGAGGCCACTGAGACTTGCCCAATGGCCAAGGGGCACCCTTTTCAAAGATCTCCGCAGCCAGGTTGAACTCCTGGGCGTTCATTTCCCAAAAGTTCAGTTTCATGACCTGCTCAACCTTTTTTTGGGGGCATTGGAGACACCCCACTCAAAACATCTCAAAACACTCCGGAGTGGGAAGTTCCGGTGCCTAAACAGAGCTTCAGAAGCTCCCTTCGTGATGCCCTTGGTTCCCAGTAGATCCAGTAGCTTCTGGTTAAAGGAAACCAAGATCCTAGTTGGTTAAAGGATACCGACAGGAAACCAACCTCCCTTCTTGTTACTAGCGACCGTCCCAGTAGATCCGGCACCAGCCCGGTCCACCGGTGGCAGGTGACCTGCGGCGACATGCATAGCTTGGCGCCTGGGACCGGCAATGACCGGCAGCGGTCGGAGCAGGGAGGTTGACAAGGCCCAGGAAGATCCAAGGGTGATGACCCAAAACAGGTTCTGACCTGGACAAGGTCACTGGGGATGGACAAAGCCCCATCAAAAGATGAAGGACAACGTCAAAAGTGAGAAGATTGTTCGATTGCATCTGATTGATGATGGGAAGATTCGGAAGAGTTTGGACATGTTCCCAGATTCCCAATGCACAACAGTCCTGCGAACGCGACATGTTGCGCAAGAGCGAGACCTCAAAGGGTTGCTTGATCTTCCTGGGAATTTGTCCCTGATCTTTTTATCCACGTGAATCCCGGGTTCAGTTGAGAAAAGATCTTCCTGAAACTCTGGGCTGGGAGGTGGCGATTCACGCCTGAAAGTGAGTCGCAAGTGGGTCAGTGAGGTCGATGAAGGCTTCACCCCAATCATCCCGGACACCCCTGTTTTCGGTGCTGGAGAGCGGAGGGCGGAGCGGAGAGCAGGCACACCGCGTGTTTCATGTTTAAAAGGTATAGTTAGTTGTTAAATTGGTATACAGTATATATAAGGTGATACAGTGATATATAAAGTGGACGTAGTGGTCATGTCATTTCAGATGCAACCCATGCTCGGATGCACCTGAACAACCCCTGCGAACCCTGCGAACGGGACTCTCAAGGTCCTGGACAGCGAGGGCCGTGTATACAGCACCGGGCAAGGCTTCTTTGGCGCGTTGCCTGGCTGGACTAAGAATAGGACTTCGTTTCGTATCCTCCAATGGTTCTTAAATCTCAACCATATCTCAACCCCATGAATCTCACATTGATTCCATATCAGGTGAACAGTCACCCAGGTGATTGGACTCTTTGGACTCAATGTGTGCGCCCAAAAATCCTGATGAGAAACACAGTCCATACGTCATGATACATCATGTACATGTGACCATCGAAATAACTATGATGCAGACCTCGACATGTCAATGTCCACTATTGATGAATACGTACTGCAACGGTTGGAACCATGTCCCGGGCCCTTGAAACATAGACTATGATTGAACATAGTCTCTTTCTAGAGTGAGAATTTAATGTTTTCAAAACCAAGTCCATGTTCTATTCTTGTCTAAGGATGTGTTTGGACTTCCAGAGATCCCTGAGACATCTGGCATCGTCTGTCTCGCATTTGCCTCGTTTCCGACGTACCGCCCGTACCGCTGTGGCCAGGCCGTCCGTCCGCCACCGAGGTTAGGCCGGGGTGCCTTGGCGTCCACCGGTGAGGAGTTGGAGTTCAAGGAGGTGCCCTCCGCCCCCCTCCGCCCCCCTCCGCCCACCGCGCTCGGACACCGGGACCGAAGCGGGGTTTTCCATCGCGGAGGT